ACTTTCGCTTAAATTATCTCTTTCATTTTTGAGTTCCACTCTCTGCTGAACTCAGGCAGAGGAACCAGCTTCACTCTTAGTTTCACATGTGCAGGTTAAAAGGGTTTTCATGAAATTCACCCTTCCAAGTCTAATCTCATTGGGCTCTCCCATAAATCCTTCCTGAAATGTGCGGATCTTTGATGCAAACACATGCCAAGTTAGACTGGTTCTATTCAGACAGAGAGAGTAAAGCTTTTTTTTTTTTTTTTTTGCATTAGGTTGAATGGTCCTTTTGTGCCCAAAATACCTCCTACCAGCTCTGAAGTTGTAGGTTTTTCAGTAGAAAATTCTTGACTATATCAGACTCTTCATTCATTAGGAAAGCCACTGCACTAGGAACAAAGTTACGGTTTGATTAGATCCTCTGCCGTCTATCAGCAGTCCAAAGCCAGGGTCACGGGTTAAGTCTTCTTCTTCCCATGAGCCGTCTGATTGGCCTGTGGAAGCTGCAGCTGTATGATTCCATCAGGATTAGAGTTTGGATGGTATGGACCCTCCATTAAACCATGAATGTTGTTAAACTGCCTGAGAACTTCCTCAACCATCTTAAGAGCTGCACTGCCAATACCTTTCATGGCCTGCTCACGAAGGCGTCAAAGAGAGCAAGGGAAACTAAAGCAGCCGAACCAATGGCAAAACCCTTTCCAATGGCAGCAGTTGTATTTCCTTTGAAGCTTCTTATGAACCTAGGAACAATTTTATATCTAAGTGTATACTTTCCACTCTTCATAACAAAGGCTAGTCTGTTGTTGATGCTCTTGGTTCTCTTCTTAGTCTTCTTGGTGGGTGCCATGGCCGCTGCTCCAAAAGGGAGGCAGAGTACAAAGAAGAAGCTCTCTATAAAACGGTTTGTAGTGGAGCAGGTAATAGGAGATTTGCGGCTGCTGTTTGGCTTGGATTTGTTCGGCTGTATGGGAGTAGAAGAGGGAAGAAGTCACGCCTGGGCCTGGATATGTGAGTGGAGCTTTGATTGCAGGATTCCGACATGAGAGAACGTGGCTTTTGCTGCTGTGGTTCGACGTGAGGTGGAGGAACAATGGGGGAGGAGGCTGGTTCGGCTGCAGGAGGCGTGCAACTTGGTTATCTTTCAGGTGGAGAAAGGTTTGCAGTAGATAGGAGATTGGTCCAACACAGGCGCAGGTTGGAGGAATTTCGCCACAGAGGGAAGTTGGAGTTGAGAGTGTAGTGACGGGGTCGGAGGGAATCCCGTTGGAGGTAGAGGGGCTAGTGGTTTTGTTTGCTGGTGGGGAGGATGGAGCTTAGGAAATGGGAAGCAGCGAGAGAGGATTTTCTTTTTGGCTGAGAACTCTTAAAACATCTATATGAAAGAGTTCCAGCTGTTTTTTTTTTTTTTTTTTTTTTTTTCAATTACTAACAAGGCCCTGCCTGCATTGGGTACCCATACCCACACCCACCCATGTACCCACCCATACCCAATGGGTATGGGTACGCCCATGACCTTGTGGGTGGGTATGGGTACGCCCATGACCTTGTGGGTGGGTATGGGTGGGTACTCAATATCGGGGTATAAATCGATTTATATTGCTAATCGCTATATATCTTATATTACTGCAATCCTCACTACGTAATGTGCAGCACTTAACCACGTTGTGACTATAGTAAATTCTGATATGCGTCTTGAAAGTTTACAATCAAAGCAAAGGGCAACAAGCCTCAAGGCCATCAATCCGTGGCAAACTGCGTTTAAAAAGTTTGGAAAGTGGGTGGGTATAGGTGGGTACGGCATCCCGAAAGTCACCATGGGTGGGCATGGGTGGGCAAAGTCTGTCCGAGTAATGCATGGGTACCCAACCAGGACCCCATGTAGGGCTTTGATGACTAGGGGCAGCTGTTGACAAGAGGATTGACAGACAGACAAATCCATTTTGACAGAACAAGGTTCACTGCTTAGCATTTAATGTATTTGACTTCTTTTCTCTGATTGGAACCCGACTCTCATTATAGTTTTATCAAGTAATTAGTCATATTAGTGATTATCCATTTCTGTATTGATTTAACATGATAACACTGCATTAATTGAGTCAAATACTGCCTCGATTTGTGTGTAGCTTTCTCGTTTTGCGTGTAGATTGCCTCGTTTAACATGTTGAATTCGTCAAATATCAAAATTAGACAAATTAATAGTGTATTTAGAGTATTGCTGATGTTCCGATCACAACGACGCAGTCCGTTTTGAGATCGGACGTCGTTTGGGCGACACCGAGGGTAATTTTTACATGAGGCCGTCTCGATTTGCGTGCGCAACCTCAATAAAACAAATTGATAGTGCATTTAGGATAAAATTTTTAGTGTTCCGAACACAACGACGCAGTCCGTTTTACGATCGGACATCGTTTGAGCAATGCCGAGGATAATTTTTACATGGGACCACCTCGATTTGCGTGCACAACCTCAATTAAACAAATTGGTAATGCATTTAGGGTATTTTTGGTGTTCCGAAAATAACGACGTAGTCCGTTCGTAAATCTGACGTCGTTTGATCAGCCTCGCGCTTTAATTTCATGTGTCGGTCATCCCTTTTGGCCGATCTCGTCTGATTTGATTGTGAGGGGCCTCGACCTAGCAGAATTCGATGTTCTTATCGCAATGTCAATATCTGTTTGGTAATCAGAGGTCGTTTGACCCGTTAAGTGATGCGTTTTGTCAATTCACGCATTGCTTAAATCATCTTCACGCATTGCTTAGATCGGTATAGGGGCTTGAGGCCGTGGGTTAAGGATCGGCACAATAGATGCGGCGAGCTTGCGACTGAGCATGAGGTTTGACGGTTAGAGGCAAATTAGGGGGAGAGAGGCTGAACGGATGTTTGGAAGTTCGCGGCGAGATCGGCCCAACAGTAAGGTCGAAGGCAGCGGCTTGATTAATGGGCTGGTTGTAGCTTGCAAACAAGAGTTTCAACGGTTTGAAGAGAAGAGGGTTGTAAAGTGAAAGGTTCAACTGCAGGGGAAGGCTGAGATCGACCTTTGGCTGGAGAGAGTGAAGAACAAGAAAAGAACGAAAAGGTTTCGTTTCGTTCTTCCTTTTAACAATGAAGGCATAGCAGAGATCTTGGGGTCACGGAGACAGCATCGTGAGAGGCAACGTCGATGCTGAGGTGGACAAGTCTGAAAATCACTTCAGCTCACAAAGAGTGAAGATCTGGTCGGAAATATCATTAGGATTCGTTCTCAATCCGTCTTTTGCTAGTAAGGACAAGGCACATGTCCTCTTATCGGAGGTTTCTCCGCCAAATGGAACCACGGGTAAATGATTATGACCGGGCGGTTTTGCCTCCAAATGGCATCATTATATTACGGTTATGGTCAGAGCCCGTATGTTCCTCAATGGATCTAAATCATTGAGTAATGAATCAATAGGATATGATCGATAAGACAGAAAGCCCTCTGTTAGCTAAATTGGATTCAAATTTGCCTCCTTAGACAAATATTCATCACAAGTCTATCAGGTACCATTGGATGAAGCAACCCATGGTTGTCGACAAGGATCCTTCTATCAGGTTGTCCTCTGACTAAATAGACTAGGGACTATGATGACTTGAGAAGACGGAACCATGGGATCTTGATCGGGTTCATCATCCTTCCCCACACCATCTGCTTTAAATGCAAGGTGGTAATTTTTTTATTTTAAATATTAAATTTTTAAATACCAAATCATGTTCATACTATACGCCAAAAACTATGTATCTATTTGACAACTAGCCTTAATCGAAAGTTCTCTCTCGTTACCGGGAGGGGTAATTAACTATAGGGGCTTGCGCTTATAGGAAACTCGAACTCGGATCATAAAGCCCTCACAAAATGAGGGAGAAATCTCTAGATAGTGTCTTACTTCAAAACTCAATCTGTCTTCTCAAAATTTACCTCGGAACCTACTCGTTAAAACTCTCCCCAATGACTGAAAAAGAAAAAAAGGGGTCCGCAGAGAGGCCGGGGTACGAATTTTCGGAGCGCACAAACACTTAATCTTATACTTCTCTTTTAATGGCCAAGATTCTGCACCATAAAGCATTGCAGGTCTCACCACTATCTTATAGAATTTTCTGTTAAGTTTGAGGGATACTTTTCTATCACACAACAAGCCCGATTTATTCCTCCACCTCAACCATCCAACTTGAATTCTATTAAGGAGGTCTAGGAAAGTACAAGGATAGAAAATACACCAATAGATAGGTAAATAAATTTAGTAATAGGACAGAAAAATGATGAATTGAAGAACATAAATATATGTTATTTGAAATTATTTGCAATGAATATGTTTAACAATTCAAACCATTAGCATGATCGACTGAAAAATACGGATTCATTCAACTAGCTCCAAATAGTTAGGATAAAGCTAATAATCATAATGATGACATGGATGGTCAGTTTATTATTGTTAATATTATCAAGTAAATTGCTTTTGATACTTTTTTTTTACTTTATTGTTGAGGACCTTCCTCTATAAATTATAATTAAAGCTGAAATTATTATATTATACTGAATTTTGAATTAAAATCTCATTTTCTTGCATGTGAAATCATTGCTTAGGTCAGAAACTCTTCCTGGATGTGATGCCCCTAGTCTAACTGTGAGAGTTGAAGTTACTGATTCTTGATCTTTCTTGCTTGATCTGTTTTCATATCTATTTTCATTTCTTTCATACTATTTAGTTATCTTTCTTCTCATGCTTTCAAGAATGTAATCCTAAAAGCACTCAATGTTGTCCTGCACACCAAAATAAATGAACAAGTCAAACCCTCGATCCAGATCTTCAAACGTTTTAATTTCTTGCCTATTTAAACTATTGGCTCACAGAAAAAGGAGGAAGAATAAAAGGATTGCTTCAGTAAATAAGATGGAACCTTTTGTTCTCGGCCGAATATTCTTTTTCAAAGTATAAGAAAAAGGAAGAGTGCTGTCATAGGAGAATGATCTGTCGTTCTAAATTACATTACTTACTTTGGATGCATCAAGAATCATCAACACAATGTCCGATGACTTTGCTACAGCAATAACCTGAAAAATTAAATCTAGGAATCATTTGTCGGAACAAAAATAATAAATTCAAATGTATATAGTATGTATATACAAGACTAGTGGTATTGCAATCAGACATGCATATTAACTTTTTTCTTTATGCTTTATTTCCTCTTCCTAAAACAGTTTTAACACAACCAATCTCTTATTGACCAACCCAAGGACCTGCGTAAATAAGTACGAAGTTTCAAGTCACCATAGATGTTCAGCATAACATGCAAGATAATACCATCAGCTGATCTCAAGACTATGGGTTTGCAAAAGAAGATGCATGTAGCTGTTTTAGCATACTACCATTATGATGGGAACTAGAAAGTTTTAAGCCTAATGAAGAACACAAAAGAAAGTAGAACACGACTCGATTCAAAACTTTAGTAAGCAAATCACCAAATAACATTAAACGAACTGAAATTGTTTTTTTAGAAGAAAGAAAACTAAAAGAAAATACCCTCAAAACAACCAACTAGTGGTCACCTCACATATAATAATAAATTAGGTAAATAGAATGCTCAAGGACATGCAAACTAGTGGTCCACCACAACAACTTTGATCCAATCCGATGTCTGCCACAACTCCTCAAGGCAAATCCCAACAAAAACTAACCAACCAACACCACTCTCACTTTTAGAAGAAGGATACAATGGAGTGAAAACTTGTGGAGAGAAGAAATGGTTAGAAGACTTGGAAGAAGAAACAAGAAGTGAAGAAGTAGATCTCAAGCTAGAGAAGAAACCCTCATGTTTTTAAAATTTTTTTCACTTCCAAAGACTGCTCACAACAGCCCAAAACTTCTCTTTAAATAGGAAAGAAAAGGAGGCCAACAACCATCCACAGCCGCCCCTTACAGCCAACCAAAAAGGGGAAGAAAAAGGCAGCAATAAAGGCATGGAAGAAGCCCACCCGAACAGCCATAAAATCGGGAAAGCCAAGGGACAACAACAAGAACCAAACAGCCAAGGTCAGGGGAACCGGGAAAGCCAGGGAGCAACAGCAAGAACCGAACAGCCAAGGCCAGGGGAACCGGGAAAGCCAGGGAACAGCAATAGAAACTGAACAGCCAAGCCAAGGGAACAGGAACCGAACAGACAGGCCAAGCAGACAGCAGCTCAGCCGCCCCCACCAAACCCAAATCAGCCCAAACACAAAGCACCCAAAGAGGCTAGCACACCAAAGGAAAAACATGTCCAATGAGCACCTAAAGCACACATGATCATCGGTTGCCTTCCATCATTGAGTAAATAAAAATTAAACTCAAAAATTATAATAATATAAAAAAAAAAAACATGAGCATGAAGATTTGAATGCATCACATTCTAACTGCTAAATGTGCTAGATAGTCATCACAGTTCATCAAAACCATGATTATTATTATAATATCCTTGGCACTGGTCATGACTACTATTATTTGCTTTGAAAACAAAAAATGAATGAAGATAGATTTCATAAAATGATATGCATTGTTTGCTTGGTACGTATGATTAAGAATGATACTGCTGGAGGGAAAAAGAAATGAAACTTACCTGTCTACCTCGTCCCTTGCCTTGTGATGCCCCTTCAATGATCCCAGGAAGATCAAGGAGTTGAATTTTTGTATCATTGTAGTTGATAATTCCAGGGATGCAGGTAAGCGTAGTGAACTCATAAGATGCAGCCTCTGAATGTGTGCCCGTTAAAAGAGTAAGAAGAGTTGATTTTCCTACACTGCCGTGTAAATAAGCAATTAAGCATTAACTGTTACGGATGGAATATGTCATCTATAGGTCTAAAGAAAATGAAAGGAACATAAGGAAAGCAGATCGTGAGTTCCAACAGAAGGGCATCTGAGAAGAGAAAATCGAAAAAGAGGGAGAATATTATTAACTTAATACAAACTGAAGTGACAGAAAAACCAACAATGATGGTGAGAGAACAGTTGGATCAAGTTGCTTCTAGGAGGAAATCCCAGCAGATCATCAAATATTGTTTGTAATTGCTAAAAGACTTAAAGCTTGAAAGAGTATTACTTCTCTCAAAACAGAAGAATATGTAAACAACAACAACAACATAAAGCCTTACCCCACTACGTGGAGGCGGCTACATGAATCCTTTTTCTCCATTGCGCCCTATTAAGAGTCAAATTCCCATTTAAATCTAATAAAGAAATGTCATTTCTAATATTTTCTAACCAAGTCTTTTTAGGTCTACCTCTACCTTTCTTAACATAGGCCAAATCTAGTATATCTAATCTCCTAACAGGGTCATCGGAAGGCCGCCGTTATACATGAACAAACCATCTAAGGAGACTCTCTATAATCTTATCTGTCACTAGAACTGCTCCAACCTTTTCAATAATATGTTTGTTTCTTATCCTATCTCTAAGAATAAATTCACTCATCCACCTGAGCATCCTCATCTCAACAACAGTTAACTTAATATTATGCTTCTCTTTTAAAGGCCAACATTCAATGTCATAAGTCATTGCAGTTCTCATCACCATCTTATAAAATTTTCCCTCAAGTTTGAGTGGTACTTTTCTATCACACAACAAACCTGAAGCATTCCTCCACTTCAACCATCCAACTTGAATTCTACTAATAATATCCCCGTCTATTTCACCATCACTCTGAACAATAAACTCAAGATATCTAAAACGAGTACACTTATTAATGACTTGATTGCTCAAAATCGCAGACCCCCACTAGATCTATTAATACTAAAATTACACTCCATGTATTCGTTTTTATAGATCTACTCAAACGAAAATCTTTAAACTCTAAAGTTGGCCTACATAATTCGAGTTTATCTTCAACTCTCTCTCTCTCTCTAGTCTTATTAATAAGAAGAATATCATCAGCAAAAAGCATATACCAAGGTACATCCTCTTCCAAATGTCTAATGGGAACATCCATGACTAGGGGTGTAAATGAGTCGAGTTTTGGCCCATATCAAGCTCGACTCGTTACATCGAAAGGGAGCTCGAACTCGACCTCGTCTCACTGTAAACGAGCTCGAGCCGGCTCGCCAGCCATGGGCATGAATTTTTAAATTTAGGCAGGATTTTTAAAAATTAGGCGGAATTCTTAAAAATTAAGTTGAATTTTTAAAACTTAGTCAAAATTTAGAAAACAACATATAAATATTTAACATTTAAATAAAACTTAGGTGATTTTTATTAATATTTTAATATTTAAATTTAATAAATAAAATAAAATTATTTTAAAAATATTAATATTTATTCAAGCCGGCTCGCGAGCTCACAAGCCGAGCCGGCTCAAGCTCGACTCGTGAGCTCGATAAGCTCGGCTCGCGAGCCCATAAACGAGTCGAGCTCAGCCGGGCTCACTTACACCCCTATCCATGACTAAAGCAAAAAGATAAGGGCTTAAGGCTGAATCCTTGATGTAATCCAACTGAAATAGGAAACTAATTGGTCAAACCATCTTGTGATTGAACACAATTCACAACTCCTTCATACACATCCCTAATGACTTGAATATAAGCAATATTAACCCCTTTCTTTTCAAACTAGAAGAATCTGTATAAAATTATAATTGAAGTAAAAGGAAATCCTAATATAATCAACTTCTAAGAAAACTACTCTTTATATAAAAAAACCCCAAATTCTCTTCGGACATAGAGCTCTCAAGAGCAACGACGAAATTTAAACAGAAATATTAATGTTCTTAATTCGTCCTCCTTTTGACTTCTATATTACCAGGAAAGCTCTTCAATAAAGATGTATCGCTTTTAAAAGTCTGTCAAATTTTCTGATCATTTCCTTAATTTAAGACATAATACCTACAAAGCCAGAGTGTGATATAAATTGAAGATAATAGGTCATGAAGTGTAAAAACTACGTTTAAGAAGTGATGCAGAGGGCATGCAACTATGAGCAATTTTCTCAATGCAAGTCATTCTGCTAAAGCACCAATCTTTAATACTGAAAGGATTGAAAAAACGAATCCTATAAAACATTAAAAATTAGACATTAAGAACCTCAATCAAAATGTAATATTCTCTAATAAACATTATGATAGCTTGGAGGTTGTCTGTAGAAAACAAACCTGGGAAATCCTATTAGCGCCACACGACCATGGCCGAATTTTGTGACTTCAAAACCTTCTCCGGCTCCACTTGAACCCTGAATTAAAACAAAACAAAAAGCAACCCTAATAATAAAATTAAGAGCAAAGGACCATATAATACATTCGTCACATGCAATCAAAGTTGGATGAAAGAGAAATGTCAGACTTCAATCAAAGTTGGATGAAAGAGAAATGCACGCAACCTTCAAGATTAAGGGAAGAGAAATAAATTTTTACTCGAAAAAGAGGAGAAAGCCTAGTATATTATGTTTGCATTGTGAGTCCAGTATGAAAGTCAATCAAAGTGTAGATGTAATTTGAAGGAGAAAGCTGCTAAGCTACAATATATGGTAGGTCACATGTTTAAAAAAGTAAAGAATATTGATAGAAAATACCGTGTACCTTAGGAGGCTCCAATAATTGAGTTCTTAGTTTTGCTATCTTCGCCTTCAGTTGTCCAAGATGATACTCTATTCAATAAAACAAAATCACATAAAATGCATACACATCTATAGAATTAAATACACCGTCACTCAACAAGAGTACAAGTTTATCCAAAAGGTGTAGGAAGATGAAACGGAATCTTTCTTCACCATAACTCCTATTCGCACATGCATTTAAACATATAAATAAAAATAATAAGCGTACAATATGAATGCTTGCAATCTTTTGAACACAAAACACAGATTTTCAACATTATGTAGGATACAATTAATGTGGGAGATAAAAGAGGTTTGAAAAAGTAGGATAAATAAAGATATTATCAGCTTATATATATAAACATATATTAAAGACTTCATTGATTCAATTATTCAAAGATTCTAGAGTACAAGCTAGGCATAAATAGAGCAGACAATACTGATTTTCCAGAGAATAATATAACTACTTTCCTAAACAAAAACAATTAGAGAGGGAAAAAAAACATGATTTGAATATTTGAATTACATGATATACGAAAGAAAAGGGTAATGACATGGATTGGGAGGTGAATGAAATAATCTTGGAAAGTTCCTAGACAGGTGCACGTAGACGAACAACAAAATCCATGGACTCTCCAAAATCCACGGTCATTAGGCAGTCTATACACCCTTTCAATTTCAGTAGTAGATATCAATCATCCCAACTTGGAGTTCAAACTTTCATAACAAATGAGGATTATGGTCTTAGTGAAAATATCAGCTATTTGAGAATTTGAATGATTGTAATGGATAATATAATCATCATTTTCTCCTTGATGAAAGAAATAGTGATCAATCTCTATATATTTGGTTGGCCCATGGGGGATCAAGTTCATTGTAATTTTGATTGTACTTTCATTATTGGACTACTTGATGGTCTCTTCAATTCTTCTACCTTTCTCTCCAACTAAATTCTTTCACAGATCCCATGTGGCCCTAAATTATTCTTCAACATTGATTAATGCCACAATAACTTGTTTTTTACTTCTCCATGCGAGTATGTTTCACCATACATAAATACAATATACAATAATTGATCTCTTATCAGTACTAGAACTTGCCCAGTCAGCATTAGTGACACTTCTGCTGCACTTGGATTCTTCTTAAGATATTAAGAGATATGAAAAATAGACTCCATAAGTGTTTTGAGGGATTATTAATGAATCTACTGGTCACGCTAATATATTAGCAAATCAATGGTTTGATATGTGTCAGCTATATCAGTTTTCCAACAAGTCTTTGATATCTTATCAGTAGTAATATCATCTTCAATGCATTTTAGCATTTGGACCCATAGCAATGTCCATTGGTTTACATCCTAATATCCTAATTAATTTAAGCAAATCAAGAACATACTTTCATAAAGATATGAAAATATCATCCCTTGATGAGGTAAATTTTCATAACAAGAAGAAATCGAATTTGTGCCAAGTCTTTAATCTCCAATTCTTTTGTCAAAATTTTCTTTAAGTTGGTTATTTCTCCCTCATCACTATAGTGAGAATAATTACATCAGCACAAACAATCGGTATGTGATGGGGACATCAGCTCGTGGAAGGTTTATCAGAGGCGTGGCCGCCGATCTACGGCCAGGATCGAGTCCTTATATTTCTGAGTTATTTATGTTATTTTCCTATTCATGTATTTTTCTATTTTCTTGTGTCATGTATTTGTTTTTTATTATTTTTCCAGTCGTATCCTTTTAGTGGGGAATGTCGTATGTAAGCCCGAAGGGCAAGATTGTCTTTTATCTTCTTGAGTCCTTATACTTGGGTATTTATAGCCTCTTGTCTTATGTTTTGAGGTTAAGGAATGAGTGATGATGAAAATTTTCCTGCACTTGTGTTCTTGAAGCTTATGAGAGAGCTTGAGAGAGAGAGAGAGAGAGAGAGAGAGAGAATCAGAGAGCTTGGTGGAGGCTAGGATAGGCCACCCGTCGTACCCAACAGTCACCACCGGTGGCTCTTGGTTCTCCTCCCCTTTCCCTCCTTTCCCCCTTACCTCTACCGCCGGCCAACCCCTTGCCTCACCCGAGCCCCTCATCCCCTCTCAATCCCACGGCCCAACCCACTACCCCAGCCCCAAGGCTGCCGGCCCCAATCCCCTTGGCCGTCGGCCGACCCCCCTTCCTTCCCTCTCTCTATTGCTCCTTCTTGCCATATTTAGATTGACAATATTTGGGGCTGATTTGAAATTCCAATTCAAACAAATTGGAGTTTTAAAATCTTTCCTAAGATAGTCAATCTATTTTAGGAAAGTTTCTAAATCAACACTATTTTGAATTCAAATTCAAATAGAGTTAATCAAATACTTTCCTAAGTTCTAATTTAAAATAGGCAAGCTTGTACACTTGGCAATCACACCCCAATCCCCTTCATGATGCCGCAGGCCCCCTCTCTCCTAGCCCATTAATGCCCCCTTAATTAATTCCTAATGCTTTAAAAACATAAGAAAAATTTTTATAAGATGGTGATGAGACCTACAATGCTTTATGGCGTCAAATGTCGATCATTAAGAGAATCATAAAATTAAGTGTTGTAGAGATGAAGATGCTCAGGCAGATGAGTGGCTTTACACTTATAGACAAAATGTGAAATGAGTATACATGAGAAAAGGTAGGAGTAGCTCCAATGGCAGATAAAATTAGAGAGAGTAGTTTTAAATGATTTGGTCAAATAAAACATCAGCTTTCTGATGACCCTCTTATGAGAGTAGATGTATTAGATCCGGCCTATGCTAAGAAAGGTAAAATAAGACCTAAAAAGACATGATTAGAAAGTATTAAAAATGACCTTTTTTATTTATCTTTAAATAAGAAGTTGACTCTTAATAGGATACAGTGGAGAAAAAGGATTCATGTAGCCATCTCCATGTAGATAAAGGCTTGTTATCATTCTCGTTGCACCATCTCGTATTGTTAACTATATTATAGGCACCACCATTCCATTTCATCAAAAATGTCATATTATTACAAATAATGAGTAAACAATTGAAATATATCGTGATAGAGTCGTCGCTTTTTTGTAGATTATAAAGAATGCTTTTGATCTCAAAAATGATTGAGGTGTTGTCAACGTTGAACTTTTGGAGTAGATCTCTTTTTATACATCTCAAATTTCTTTGGCGACTTTATTGCACTACATAAAATTTTCTCCAATTTCATTTTTTATGAAATTTAGTAACTATGACAGCAACACATTATTTTCCACCTTCCATGTTTGAAACTTGTGTCTACTTCATTACGTGTGTGAGTCGCTTCCAAGGACAAATAGCATCATTGATTAAGAGCATTGGAAGAAATATTGCCCATTAAAGCATGTGTTTGAAAATGGTAAGGACAGATATCTCTAATCTAATGAGGTGGTATCATTGATTATGTAGATGGGCTAGGAATGGATGTCAACTCAGAGCAGTGCTTCCTCTGCTACCAACTACAAGAAGGGGCAGACGGCATGAACAGGTCTATTGGGAGCAAAAACAAGTACGAAAATATTAGAAAAAATATGACAGAGCTAAGGGAATTGCTCGAATGAAAAATATAAATGTGGAAAGCTTCAATGATTCAAGTATTCAAGGATTATAAAGTTCAGGCTAGATATAAATAAAAGAGTTAATCCATATTTTTCTCATGGACAGTAAAAATCTTTTCCTAAACAGAAATAACTAAGAAAAAAAAAGCAATAAAACATGATCTAAATATTTGAATTCAGACCTTTATAACATTCAATGATACATAGAGGGGGAGGAAGAAATAATGTCATGGATTAATTAGGTGGATGAAACAATCTTGGAAACTTCTTACAGTACGATCTGTGGACATCAACAACAACCAATAATATAAATTATGCAAATCTTAAAACTACAATAACACTAGCTATTTTGAATGTTCCTTCGATCGTAGTGATATATTGAGCAGGTAATCTTTTTATTCGATGAGTCACTTTTTAATGCAAATTATACACTGTCCAATACAAATTACATCTGTATTAAATATCGTGTTTTCGTGGAATCACTGCATTCTAGTATAGTAATCAGTTTGAGAGGAACCTACCTTGAGTTCTGCTAACAAATCAAGCGTTTGTGAGGGTTAAAGTCTTCGTATTAGGTGCACAATATGAATTTATATGTGTCAGAGTGATTAAGGGTTAACAAATATTCAAGTTCAGGGATTAACAAAAGGTTGCAAAACCTTAACTTAATTGGGAAAAGGATAATAATGGCAGTGATGATAATGTAAATGTAGTTGTCATATATCTTTAGATAGTATGGCGAGGTGTATCGACAATCAGCTTAAAAAGTACATCAATAAGAATACAGTCGAACCTGTGGCTTTATTTTTTTGCGTTCGAGCCATTTCGGCTTCAATTTCCTTGATTTTCTCAATGATACCCATCTTTCTTCGTATGAAAGAGCTGGCCTCAAATCCTGAGATATTAAGTTATCACGGATTGGTGATAGTAAGATCCATAAAATTGAAGCCAGTAGATTTGTGTGGACGCAAACCAAAAAAAACCTTATATAGATACAAAAGCGTCGTTCAGCGACAGCTCGACAGAAGGAGCGTTAAAGGAGGTGTCTCGCCGTCAAGATGCAATTCCAGTGTGACGCCGCTGCCACCGGGTGCCGATCTCCCTTTCTCTCTCGCTCACCGTCTTGCCCTCACTCTCTAGCTCTCTTTACCTTTCCGGCCCGCGCGCTACGTCTCCCACAGGCTAGCCCTGCGTGTTCGCCGCCACTTCAGTGCGAGCGAGAACAATTAGCAGGGGACGCCAATACGGGTTAACTGGGAGGGTTCGCGTTTGACCCGATATTGAGGCCACCTGATTTCAACCAAACGAACTTTAGACATTTGTTATGTGAAAATTGGCTTCATATGTAGATCATTTGTGTAATTGCGTAAATATTTAAATTATTTATTTATTTGTAAAAATAAGGTTGAAAGTGTAACTCATCTATTTATTTGTGAGTGCTTAATAAGTAGTTGGTGAATCATAACAAGAGAACTGTCTCCCTCTAGGGTGTCCCATCTAGTGAACTCATCTAAAGAAGAATTATTCACCTCGAGCTTCCTGAGAATTTGCTTAGAGTGATCAATAGGTGCCACTCGTCTTAACCTACTAAGGAGCTCGTCATTGCGAGGTATATGGGGATTTCTCGTCAAGTTAATAGCCTGGCACTCACTATGTAACTAAGTCACAACCTCAGGCACTCGTAATTCCTCAACGGACCTCAATTGCTTGATCTCCCATAGAGTAACAATATTCACTAAACTCAATTACTTGGAAAAAAAATCTACTCTTGGTACCCTTATCTTACCTCATCACGATCATCAAACTTGGAGTCCTCCATCCCCATGGAAACAATCCACTTGCCTTTATCCTCAATGCAATTTAGGCTCTCTCATACAAGTCTCCAACCGTATCAATAAGCAGGTACCCTTGGCTCAACACTAGCTCACATACTCACTCAAGCAAACTTGCCCTTGCCTGCCCAACATCACCAAACATGCTCGAAGACAACTAACTATAATTCTTCAGATCCCACTTTCATCTAGCTAACCAAGGGGCGATATATGTATCAGAAGAGTGTGTAGCATTGCAAAGGTGTTTTATGTGGCATTGTATTTTTTTTATTTTATAGTCTTTTTATAGCTCTCAAGACCCTAAAAATAAAGGGTACTGAGAAATAGTTTAGGACCTTATCATGGACTCTTGACTGATTTTAGTGGATGATATGCTAGTTTGTGATCTAAGCTTTCTTGAGTATTCTATAGAACTTTCAAATGGTCTCCCAACTCTCTCTATTCTCATAGGTCAAACTTGCCCGGCTTAGATGTTCGGCTTGCTAATAAGATCTTGTATCTTCCACAGATAAATTTAAATTCAAATTCTTCTTAGATGCAATGATTATGGTTTGATGCTATGGATGAGAAAACAAGCTCGAACTAGGGATGTAAACAATTCTAGTCGAGCTCGAGAAGCTCCTGTATTAAGCTTGATTAACTAATCGAGATCGAGCTCGAGCTTTATTCAACAAATTCGAGCTCGTTCACAAGCCAGCTCATTTATTATAAAGGAGAGAAATATATTATGATTTAAGCACTTATTATAATAAAATTAAAAATGAGTAATTATAAGAAAAATAGATTGGTTAGCACGCTAATGAGTTGAGTCGGGACTGGCTCAAGCTTGACTTATTAGCTCATTGTACTTGGCTCACAAGCCATTTATCGAGTCGAGCCCAAGTTGGTATGGCTCACTTACACCCCTAGCCCGAATTGAACTAACAAGTTGAACCAATAAGAGCCATGAGTGGTTCAAACTTTGGGGGGAACAATATTAGAACAAAGTTGTAACAGTTAAAATTATGTATAATTTGTTTAAGGATTTGGGTTTTTTCATGTGAATAAGGTTCGAAACTCTTGTTATAAGTTTGTACCTTATTTAAACATGAGATTCTCCTTAAGCATACTTTCTATTATGGCCTACAATTGTCAATGATGATTCCATTCAAACCTTAAATGTAAAACATCATTAACCTTAAACAAGAGATGGTGAATCTTCAATTTTTTTTCAGTCAAATTTAAATCTTCAATTTTATTATTTATTTATTAAAGTTTTTTTAATGGAAGTCCTAAATTTAATCATACATGTATCAATAAATTTTTGGAGGTGGCAAAGAAAAGTAATTTAATTGAAATATCAAATGTACTTTTTCTACCTCTTTATTTGAATGAATGTAAAATAAAATAATTATTTTTTTTATTTGACTTAGTAAAATGAATGTACCGTAACAATGGTGGTGACTAGTGTGTGGTGGCAATCATTATATTCTCTATGCTTATAACATTATAATTATAATTATATATATATATATATCAGTAAAAAATTATTATAAATTCAAATCACAAATAATGTTCGTCATAACATCATATATATTGTTTTGTTTTAGTTTCACTAATTTATTCATATTTTTTAGCACAGGTGAAATTCCTTAAGAAATTGACCGTTAAGTGTCCGTTTTGTAAACTGATTTCATCATAATTTTTAAAATAAAATGGGCTATTTTATGGATATTTTTTTATAATTTTTTGAATCAATAAAAAACTTATATGAATTTTATACTAAAAATTAATAATATTATATTATTATTTTGTAAAAAAATAAATATCTAAAACAATAATAGAATTTATTAAATTGCTTTAATCTTATTTTCCTCTCATTTTCGTGCAACATAACATGAAAATTGGAATTTGAGAGAAGAGAGGAAAGGCGAGAGAGGAAAAGCAATGGTTTGGCACCTTAGAGCCATTTTTGTTTGTGAGCCCATTTGAGAAATTTGTTCGCTCGAGGTACGTTAAATTTTGCCTATTTTGATTTTTAATAATTTAATATTTTTGAGTTTTTTTCAATCAAATTTATATTTTTGTTATCAAAAAATGTAGATAACTTTGTTTTGATAAAAATTTTACTGCGTAACTTTTTATATGTTATAGAGATTTTGATTATAAATATTTTTAGTATATTATGAAATTTTTTAGTATGGTGATTTTAAAAAAGCATCATTTTTTGCTTATTCATAAATTTATTTTGACATCTAAAACTGGTGTTTCAGTTCAATTAAAGCTTTAGAATAATACTTTGTACAATCTATGATAATTTAGTTATATTTTGAAGCAGTAAATTTGTTATCAATAGAGAGACATTCAGATAAAATGAATATCTGCTTATAATTCATTTGATTTTTGTTGCGTCCAGGAATATTCGCGACGATAGAGAAAAATAAAGTTTAGCATCTTAGCATTGTACGAATATCCAGCACGCAAGAAGAAAGAGAGAGATTAAGACACCCGATCTTTTTACGTGGAAAACCCGAAGAGGGAAAAACCACGGGGCCTCGCCCAGGTGAAAAGATTCCACTAAACTTGAGTGAATTACAAGGGTTGACCTATTAGAGGTGGTTAGATTACAGAAATTTGAAGAGCTAGTCAAATGACCGATGACGGTCACACAAAAATCCGACGGGTTTTGTACAAAAGTTTGGCTGACAAGGAACGATTCGATGAAAGTATGACAGTGAACGGCGGCCAGACGGTGGCCCGGCGATGGCCGGGCTGAAGTCCAACGGTGGTCGGCGGCCGGATGGTGGTTAGGCGATGGTCGGCAGCCGGGCGGTGGTCCGACGAAGGTCGGGCAAAAGTTCGGTGGTGGCGGGGCGGTAGTCCGGCGGTGGTCGGCATCCGGGCAGTGGTCCGACGAAGGTAGATCAGGCTAAAGTCTGGCGGCGGTAGGCGGCCGGGCTGAAGTCCGACGACAGTCGGCGACCGAGCGGTGGTCTGGTGGCGGTCAGCAGCCGGGCGGTGGTCCGACGAAGGTCGGGCTAAAGTACGGCAGCAGTCGGCGGCCGAGCAGTGGTCCAAAGAAGGTCGTCAGAAGTCCGGTGGCGGCCGAGCGGTGGTCCAGCGATGGTCGGCGGGCGGGCGGTAGTCCAACGAAGGTCGGGCTGAAGTCCGATGGCGGTCGGCGGCCGGGCGGTGGTCCGACCATCGTTGGGTTGAAGTCCGGCGGCGGTCAGCGGCGGGGCGGGGGGA